TCGAAAATGTCATTAGGTATAGGACAAGCGGGAATCCTATATTATAATAAAACTTCAAATTTTGCTTTTCTTCAAGGACACCATGAATTCCCATTCTCTAAAATCACAGTTAGTTGGCAAGATAAGAAGGAAAATTAACTTAAAAAATATAAAACTTTCTATCTCACCTTTTGGCTTAAGCAGGTTGTAAAATGAGGGGAAACCCTATTGGGAAGATGCCTGGAAGCCAAGGAGTATAATATCAAAGCCTTTGGCTCTACTTCATAGGCTCAGAGGACGTTTCTCTAAATTCTTAGATTCTCTTCTGTGCACTTCTACCTTTTGTAGGTCATATACCTGTGTGGAAGGATGGACTAGGACTTATTTATTTTCCTTCCCCTCCCTCCTTATTAACACCTGTGGGACTTCTACTTCAAAATCTAGCATCCCTTATAGCTCTCTTACATGGAATTTTAACCATGTATCTAAATAAGGGGCTAGAAATACTATGAAATTATAACCTTTGTAACATGTATCACAAAAAAGTGTTGTAATAATAATTATAGTATGAATTGCCCTTAGAATTGATTTGTCATTTACAGAATCATCATATAGATTTCTAATAAGCGCTGTCTTGACATTAAGTGAGGGTTTTAGGAAAAAATAGACCTAATGTATTCGTTCTAAAGAGTTTTAGTCACAAAGGTGTCACAAATCTTCTTTCTTTATAAGAATTAGAATCATACACAGAAGGACAAAGAAATCATGCTATATTTAATCAAAACATCCATCAAATTGAGGAAAATTCCATATTGGAAATAAGTCACTTGGGGTCTTCTATATTCCTCCATGTTGGCTTAGCCCAAGGGGATCTATTACAGCTCATCTCCCTATTCATAGACCCAAGGAGGATGACCACTTCTCAGTGATTTTAAAAAATATGTCCTTGCTTCTGATTCTTTTTGCAAACTCTTAAAGTCAGATTTTTATTTATATCGACCTACAGTAACCCTAATGCTTGTTTTAATTGCTTTAGAATCTTTGGAAAATATTGTCTGATGAAGAGATTGCAATCCATCACCTGTAGTACTCTTCCGGTTTCATTGTGGACTAGCCAATCAGTAAATATAGGTTTTCAGTGAAAATTTGAAGCATTATCTCACTCCCAAGGGGAACACATCAGTTTAGGGAATGTGTGTTGGAAAGGGCAAGGTAAGGTGGAAAGAAAAGTCATCAATTACATTTCACCATCCCAGGGCCATAGGAGTTTTCCTTGAGTTTTCAAGAATAAAAATAACACTTGGGTTGGGCATGGTGGCCCATGCCTATAATCCCAGTGGCTTGGGAGGCTGAGAGAGGAGGATTGCAAGTTCAAAGCCAGCTTCAGTAAAAGCGAGGCACTAAGCAATTCAGTGAGACCCTGTCTCTAAATAAAATACAAAAACTAGGGCAGGGGATGTGGCTCAGTGGTCGAGTGCCCCTGACTTCAATCCCCAGTAACCATCACCCCTTCCCCCCAAAAAAATCATTATTTTTTCATAGAAGTAACTTTTCCTTCTTCTCAATGAATATTCTGCAGTGCAAGGACTGATTTTTTCACTCCTGTGTCTTTATCATCAGGTCTCATGATAAGCAGAAAACATTTGGCTTTATAGTTGCTCAATTTTCAGTTAGCATGACCTTGATATATTCTGATGAGGAGCAACTGGAATTTAAGGTGCAGTTCTCAAGGGAGAAGGCTGATCAACTTTCTCATTTCCAGGAGAGGAAAAAAGGATTCCATTTAGGTTTGGTCTGGTTTGGTTTTAGATGCAGTATTCATGATTTGTTTTTCTTTCGGGTTTGAAAGTTCCACAGAGAAATCACTGGACATTTTCTGCCTGGTAGCATGGAAAGGTTTTAAATTCAAATAATGTTGGGAATACTTCAGAGCATGCTTCTTTGGCAAAGGAGGGAGTTCTGTGAGTGATCAAAACAGGACCTGGCAACCATGTTGCTGGCATGGATTTGTGCTGCTTGGATGGGCCGAGACTGATCAAATCACTGCATCCAGCAGCTGCTGGTTAATTTGCTTTTGGAATTATACTCTGTGTGGTGTTTATTAAAAAAAATTGGGTGCATTTAAAGGGGCACAGCAACTTGCAGCATCAGTAAAGTTTGGGATACAGAGCCATCTGGCTTATACTTAAAGGCAAGTATGCCTGGCCAATCAAAGAAGCCTTTCTGCAGCAGGCCAGATCTGTCTGTAAGTCTTGCTGCTTCTTGAATTCATTTCTTTGCCCTCCATTGCCATGTTCCAGGCCTGTGTCACACTTGTCTGCCTGGCTCAGGTATGCCCTGGTGTTCTAGCCCCCTCTATCTTCTTGCTCTCATCCACTCTTCACTGTCTTATCTGATGCATCAATAGAACACTTTATAGTTTAAAGCATTTTTCCAAAATTAATTTAATTTAATTCATAAGAACCATCTTCAGCTCTCTCTCACCCTGTATTTCATTTCAGCCTGCTGAAATCCGGCTCTCTAAATCTATTCACAGCCGTTCTGGGCTCCTCCCCTTCAGGACCTTTCCATTTCAATTACCTCTGCCTTCTATCCATGGCATTGAACCTGCGTATTCCTGATTCTGTGACTTTCTTTGCTCTTAACATTCTTCTTAACTAAATCAATTGCTTATTGCCTCCTAAAATCTATACTTTATAGAAATTTTTCTCTGATTAGGAAAGCAAATGGTTACACAAGATTTTTCTTAAGATTACCAAGATTTTCAATGTTCTAGAAACACCTCATTGCTGGGGATTCAATGTTTCAGGAACTCTACTAGGAACGTCCACATATATATGAATATCTATCTATCTATCTATATACATATATATGATATATGTAATTATACACACACATATAGAGTATGTTATCTTAATAGCTCTTTAAGGGAGCAGTTATCATCTTTAATTTATAAATCAGTTCACTGAAACTCAGACATCTTAATTGCAGCTAATGAAAGGCAGAATTGAGAAGCAAACACTATTTTTCCTTCAGCTAATCCAGTGTTCTTTCCATCATTTCCAGTGTACTACAATTGCACTTTGCAATTACAATGATGGTTTTTTGGTTGATTGCATTGTTTTTAATTTCCTGTATTGCACCAATTAAGATGGTTAGGTAGGACATCCTTTATTTATTTTTCCAGTTCCTCTTTATAGTGTTAGAAAGCATTTAATGGATGGAAGTTCACTTATCAAGTTATTTGTCAAAATGACTTATTTGCCTTTGACACACTGTGCAGTTATTTCTAGAATTTTCAGTCCTTCTGATAAGATTCCCATGGACTAATGTTCATGGGAGCAAATATCTGGCATGAGCAGCAGTTGGGTGGTAACCAAGTCAACAAACAAAACCAGGTCAGCCAGTTCTTCAGCAACATTCTGCCATCCCCTGAAACTCTGAGCAGGCAGCCTTCTGTATCTGTGGATTCCTCATCCAAAGATTCAGTCAACTGTGGATTAAAAATACCCTGCATAAATTGTTTCTGTCTTGACAAGACTTTTTTTCTTGTCATTATTTTCTAACACACTATAACAACTATTTACAATGCATTTATACTAGATATTACATTTATATTAGATTAGATATTAGATATTAATCTGGAGATATTTTTAAATATATGAGGGGATAGAGCATATGTGTACATATACTACACCATTTTATATAATGGATTTAAACATCCTTAGATTTTGGTATCTGCCCGGGGTCCTGGAACTAATACCTGATAGATACTAAGGGATGATTGTACTGTGTTTGAACATCACAAAAATTTGTAGCATATAGGTGATTCAAAGTCATTTGAAATTCTTATTTCTCGTGGTCCTGTGTAATTACATGTATTGATTTTGATTTCATAAAAGAATGATTAAATGTCAGTGGGATGCCAGGTGCCTTATCAAACCTAGTGTGAAATGTCCTTCTGAAGTGAACCCTGAATGGTCTTCAGATGTCTGACTCCTGCAAGCTGTTGGTCATCCTGTGAACTTGGACAGTTTGATCCTGTGTTGGAACTGGCTTGTGTGTTATTTTCTCTTGGTGTAAGCAGATGTTAATTGGGAACCAACAGATGAAACAGCTAGTGAGTTATTTCTATACCGTTTTTCTGGACAATCAATATGTACTGAAACTTTACATGTGAGGGATAGGGGAATTGTTACATATGAGTATTTTTAGTTGAAAAATCAGGTAGGTCAGTGCAGGATTGAAATCCAGGACAGGAAGCTTCCAGTATTTTCTTCCTCCTTCAAAGAACGCCTCCATGGGCCCAACGAGTGGCACACTCTCCCACTGAGGCAAGCATGATCTCTGGATGCCCCAGGCTGAGAGTGGAGGTCAGACACCTGCTGAGCAAGCTGGCTTGACAGTGCAGGAGGGTGGTGGTCAAGAGCATGAGCTCCGGGGCAAGACAGCCTGGGCTATGTCCCATTTCTACCACTCTTAACCGTGATCTCGGACAGTGACTTAATCTTAATCTGTATTGTGCTTTGATCACCTATAAGTTAGGATTTGCATGGTGCTCACCTCATAAGGCTGTCGTGATTGTTCAATGAGATGATTTATGATAAATAAATATATCAGAGTCAGTAAACACTATGTGTTTCAGTTAAAACAAACAAACAAACAAAACCCCAACTCAGCAGCAACAAAAACAGAAACCAAGCAACCAACTCCTTTCTATAGTGAGGTTCTCAAAACATTCATGACAACAAAGCCTTCTTTATTATCGTATCTCTCTTTTACCCACTGAAGACACCAACGTTTCTGAGAGACAGGTTGGACATAAGTCTTAAGTACAACATGAAAATTCCAACCACAATCCCTATTACCCAATCTCTAGTGCTATTTGAGGGCTGCGAAAGTTTGACTTTTATCCCAGTGTGTCCAGGGCAGATGAGAGATTGGAACATATTCTTCAGAAAAATCAGCAGTGAGATGAGAACAAAATTCAATTTACAAATGAACTTTTTCTTGTTTTCCAGCTACCACCACACAATCAAGGCGGAAAGGCCACTTCTCCCGGTGCCCCAAGCAGTACAAGCATTACTGCATCAAAGGGAGATGCCGCTTCGTGGTGGCTGAGCAGACACCCTCCTGTGTGTAAGTGAAGCCCTGTAGCCAGCAAGCAAAGGGGTGCAGAACAAGCTGCACCTGGGGTACAGAAAGGGCTGCACAGCCTGGGGCTTGACGGGGCTGGAAAGTCTGAGCTAACCATGCCATCTGTGCAGACATGGTTCCGCCTGGTCCTGCCCTCAGCCACTTGTTTAGGGCCCTCTCGGCAGCCACTTATGGAGAGACTGACACAGACTTTCCTCCTGAAATATGAGCGTGTGAGAGCGCAGATCCGCTTCCAGGCTGGGCAGTGTCCTCTGCTCCCTTGCGCAAGCAAAACTGATTCTGTCCAGTGTTAGGATGCTTTTCAGCTCGAATAATCTCCTGGGTGGTTCAGATGGAAACAGATCCTTCTGGCATGTGTTAGGTGGTTCGTAGTTAATGTAAATATGAAGGAATTCCTGCCAAATTAAAAGCTCCCTTTGCAAGGTGTCAGTTAAGTGTGAAGAAGTCAGTCTTATTTATACATAGAAATCAGCAAAGCCGGGTTAAGTACAGTTGGGGACTGGGAGAGGAGCTCTCTTTCCAACTTTTAGGAAATTTAAGAGTCTAAGCACATGCAAAAGTTTTTGCATCTTTTAAATTTCTATTTTCTTCTAACAAGATATCCCTCTGAAGTGCTGTCTGGGATATTTTCTTTATAGAAGAGCAGGGTGATTCTTTCTAATTTTGACCTGAAGTTCACAGAGTGTTTGTTATTTTTCACAGTTTTCTCAACATAGAGTTTTTGTTTTTTTCCATAAGAATCTCAGAATAGTGATTCTGATTTTGTAGGGGAGTTTAAAGGTCATGGATATAGCATCAGAAAAATGAGAAATGATACCCCCATCTATGTATGATTTATCAGAGTCCATAAATGTGTCCTATTGTCATGTATAATAAATTAAAACACATAAAAAATTAAAAATAATGAAAAAGAAACATTTTAATCAAAAAATTAATTATAATTATGTTCAATTTTAAAAAGAAATATGCACAAATAATACTTAGCAAGGATAAAAATTGCTAATGCAAAATATCAAGGAAAGTGTGTTGGAGGTGTGCTAAGAAGGGCAGAGCTGACTCTTTGAAATTTCATTTCATTATTTACTGGCTTGGAGGCATACATTGGGTTTTTAAAATATCAATGTCCTTTAACCCAGAACATTTTTCTAACTTATCCCTATGTCTGCAGATTTATTGTTTTTTTTTAATATTGCTATTTTCTAAAATGAAAATCACCATATGTCATTTACTTTCCTAGGATCAACACACAGCTCGTCCCACTCACTTTGAGGCTAAAACATATTTCCTTGACCTCTGTGGCTCCTCTGATTCTGACTTAACTTCTGGCTAAACCTCTCACCATATTCCCAAATGTTCCCCTAAAGTCCTACCTCCCTAGTCATGGTTTATTATACAAGTTCTTCCCATAGGCTTGAGAGCTTATTCCTGATGATGGTTTAAGATACAACTGAAATGCCAGCTCCTTCTGCACTTGTCCCTCACTGACTTCCTCCTTCCCAGGCACATAGCCAGGTGTCAAGTAGATGCCCTTCCTCTGCCATGGAGTGACACTTCAATGGAGGCACTTATCCACTAGAGCATAGCTGTCAGTGACTTTGAATGACCTCTCTGTGGCTGTGAATTCCTAGAGAGCGGGCTTGTGGCTTACTCATTTTCGTGTTCCAGTGGTAAGCATGGAGACTAAAATTTAATAGGTGTGCAAAAAATGACTGATGAAGGAATGAATACGTGTCTCTACCTGAGCCCATCTAATGCTATGCTAAATTTCAAAACCAAGGCCTCAATCAGAACCAGAAGCTCTTCTTAGAGTAGAATGATACAGAACCAATGGGAGGCAGAAGAGCACCAGGTTAGGGGACAGATTTTAGAGTCAGACCTAAGGTGAGATTTTGTTTTTTACCCATTATTAGCAATGTAAACAGTGGGTCAATTACCTTTCCTAAACCTTTGTTTTTATTTTATATAAATAAATAGATTTTATATATATATATATATATATATATATATATATAGAGAGAGAGAGAGAGAGAGAGAGAGAATACTTTTATTTATTTATTTTTATGTCTCACACATGCTAGGTAGGCAAGTGCTGTACCACTGAGTCACCACCCCGGCCCCTCAGTTTTTATTAAAAGGGATAAAAATACCTTCCTCTCAAGGGTTGAAGATTAAGCCAAGTAATATACATAAAATCACTTATGTGGTTTCCGACATTTCGGAGTAAACGTTCCATAATCACTGAGATGAGTGGACAGATATCCAACCTAGGACTGACCTTTCATGGTTTGGTATAGCATGAATTCAGACAAAAATGGTCTTACCGTTCGTTGGTGACAGCATCATCTTGGGAAACCAGAAATATCTCCTTTCACTTGTGATCATAGATATAGATTATGGACTCTAGTTTTTACATGCACACACACAAAAAAACAAGTTGTGTTTCAAATAATTCAAATGCCCTATTAGTTTCTCCATATTTTCTTGGAATGTGGATAATTTGTTTCCGGATATATAATTTTCATTTATGAATGCAGCACAGTTAATTTACATGCTGCTGAGGCCATAGGCAGGGCAGCCAGACTGCCTGTGTTGGAATCACAGTCCCACTCACTCAGTGACTCTGCACCTCTGTTTCTTCACCTGTAGAAGGGGGTTGATAATGACACCAACTTCAGAGCTTGTTATAATGATGGATTTAGTACTTGTCAATCTCTTGGAACAGTGTCTGGTGATTATTTCAGAACAGTGACCCCCTAAGCCTGGTTTTGCAGTCCCTCTAGAGAGTTGTGGAATCTTTAAAAATTATTCTCAGTTTTCCAATTTTATTTTATAAGGTGTTTATTTGATAAACATTCATTCATGACTTAGTAAACATTAAGATCTTGCTCCCTTGGCTTTTTTCCCTCCTATATGGGAAATACTCTTGTTAAAAATGACCATCAGCTAATAGATCACTGGTCAGCTGAAGACTGACATGATATGAGAGCAATTATAAGTATGTTAAGGTTTGACCTTCCAGCATGGCTTCATTGGCTTACAACATACTGAAGCACTACTTACTGAGAAATTCAGTTCAAGCTTGTTCAGCCACTGAACCCAGAGCTCATAATTAGAAAAACATTGTAATAGATAAGCTAGTCATTGTTGGGCCTTTTATAGGCAAGATTATTATTTTAAAATGCCACATTTACCGAGTGTGAGGGCACACGCCTGTAATCCCTGTGGCTTGGGAGGCTGAGGCAGGAGGATTGTGAGTTTAAAAGCCAGCCTCAGCAATGGCGAGGCGCTAAGCAACTCAGTGAGATCCTGTCTCTAAATACAATACAAAATAGGGCTGGGGATGTGGCTCAGTTTTCAAGTGCCCCTGAGTTCAATCCCTGGTACCAACCAACAAACAAAAACACAACAAACATGCCATATTTAGTAAATTTATTAAAGAAATATTTAACTGGGAAGAGACTATACATATTTGCAAAATTTAATTACATTCTTCAAACTAAAAACTTCCTCTTACATGCGAATGAAAGTGAAATTTCCACACCTTTTCAATCCTATGTGCTACATATTTTTGATATTTCAAGATATTTCTAAGTGCTGTCTTTGTATTTGGACCTTGGAGTAAAGTCACCTACCTATCCAGCAGGAGGCCATTCTCCCCCACTTATTCTAGGTCCTTCAGCAATAGGTGACATTACATATTTTCTCCTTTGCTTGAATCACAGTTTAGCTTCAATCAATGGTTGTTTCTGAGCTTGGGTTTTTGTTTGTATTTTGAAACACTGTATCAGTTGAAAGATTGGCATTAAGGGATCTCCTTACTTGAGAAATACAGGCTTTGCAGGAATTAACTGCCTCAGCTCTTGTGAAGCATAGGCTCTAGAATAGCCAGGCAATAAATCCTTTCTTAAAGAAAATTTAAGTTGCACAGAAATCTTTTCAAGGTGCAGAAGTTAATCTTCTTGACACTTAAGTAATTCTTCATATTGCTAGTATCTCTTTGTGTTCTAATGCACCTGAGAATAAAGGTGAAATATTTATTAATGGAAAGGTACTTGATATTACAACAGATAAGTTTGGTTCAAATGTCCTTAGACAAATTTCTATGTAATTTTTAAGATTCTGTCACAAGTCAGAGAATTCTATGGGTAGCCCACAAATCACTGAGCTGTTTCTCATCTAGTGTTGCTTAGTCGAGTCCCAGCTGGGTATAAGATTCATAACTGTCACCTCAGACTTAGTGCATTTGCTGAGTTGACGCCATATGAAGATTATATTGATAGAGACTTGCAAGATTGAAGGGAGCTAGCCCCACTTAGAGAGCTAGTTGACATTGGTTATTCCACTTTAAGAAGGCCATGGAATAAAAGGAGGCCACTTGGGGAGGGGAAGGAATGGTGAACAGATCTGGAACCATGGCCACAGAAAACCAGATGAAGGAACAGGATAGGACAGGCCATGTTGTGTTTTTTCGGAGGGGAGAAGTAGTTGCGGAGGTGGTGAATGCAAGAGTACAGAAGAGGTTGGGTGCAGTGGCACATGCCTGTAATCCCAGCATTTTGGGAGGCTGAGACAGGAGGATTGTGAGTTCAAAGCCAGTCTCAGCAATTTAGCAAGGCCCTAGCAACTCAGTGAGACCCTGTCTATAAATGACAAACAAAAAAATAGAACTGGGGATGTGGTTCAATGATTAAGTGCCCCTGAGTTCAATCCCTGGTCCCCCACTCAAAAGGAAAAAAAGGAGTAATAGAAGAATATTCCCTAGAATATTGAAGGATCAGGGGAGAGAAAGAGAGGGAGAGATGGAAGGAGGGAGGGAGAGAGAGAGGGAGGGAGAGAGAGAGAAAGACAAGAAGAAGAAGAGGAGGAGGAGAAAGAGGAGGAGGGGGAGAGAAGGAGGGGGAGGGGAGGAAAATGAGGAGAGGACAGGGGGCAGAGAGAAGGGGAGATTCCGTAGAAGTAGTATATATGGAACTTTCTATTTTTGGACCCTGGGTTCAGAGCTTTCACACTTTGATTGTATGAAACAATGTAAGTTTAAAATTATTTTAAAGAGTGCTTTGGCACACTGAAACTATTCATTATGTATATTGCCCTTGGATGAAATGGGAAATCCTGGGGATTTTTAAAAATTCCTTGTCATGAGGTTTTTAAGCACAGTGAATACTATGGAGGGAATTTTATCATTTCCTACTTCTCCAAACTTAAAACTTCAAAAACAAGTCCTAATCACAAGTATCTTTGCTTATGTAGATGAGACATATTAATAATGTTTAAGTGACAGGGTTTCAGTAAAATGAAGAAGTTAGAATTACTCATGAACACAGTGGAGGACAACTTTTTATTCTTATGTTTAAAAGAACTGTGTTCTTATCAATTTCAAGCAATGAAAACAGTGTTAGTTTCTTTGAAGAAGAAGGGGAGACTCCTAAGTCTTGCATTTTTACCTTGTCACCCTCTTGTTTTATCTTGACAGCTGCAACGAAGGCTACACTGGGGCCAGGTGTGAGAGAGTTGACTTGTTTTACCTAAGAGGAGAGAGAGGACAGATTTTGGTGATTTGTTTGATAGCAGTTATGGTCATTTTTATCATTTTAGTCATTGGTGTCTGCACATGCTGTCAGTAAGTATTTTTTAAGTTTAATTTTAATTATCTTGCTCTTTGTTTTCATTTCTTCTTTTCTTCCTTCTTTATTACCTTCTCTTTCCCTTTTGCTTCAATTGAAATAAATCTATTTTTGATGCTTGCCATCAATAATATTGAAGTATTTATTTACATTGAAGCCCCTGATACACAATTTTTATCATTTTATTGGAAACAAGTATTATTATTTGAAACAAATTTTGTTTTAAAATTTTTAGGTTGGCCACATTAAGATATGTGCAATTATTTATTTTATGTGCAAATAATGATTACACATTCTTTCCCCTACTTTTCATTTTAAATCCCAAATTTGAGAGTCAAGAACCAGCATGCTTTTTCTTTGATGCACAGTGGCTTGCTGTAAGGATCTTTGTTTGTTTGTTTTGTACTGGGCATTGACTGAACCCAAGGTTGCTCTACCAGTGAGCTACATTCCCAGCCCTTTATGATTTTTGTTTTGAGACATGATCTCCCTAAATGGCCAAGGTTGGCCTTGAATTTGCAATCCTCCTGCCTCAGCATTCAGAGTCATTGGGATTACAGGTGTGTGTGCCACTGTACTTAGCACTGAATTATTTAATTTAATTTAATTTTTTTAGCCACAGCAGCACCACCACATAGAATGGTGAAAAGGTGTTCTGTGTAAGTGTTGTCTTCTTGTCTTGAGGAGCTAGCCAGCTTCCTAAATGGTTGCATCTACTTCTGTGTTGTGTTCCCCTCTCAAAGTGCATGTCTCATGATTCCTTTCCTTACAATGTTCTTGGGAGAAAAACAGCAGCAGAGTCTGACTTTTTGTCCCAGTTCTGTCATTGTGTATCTTTGAGACTTCAGGCAAATTTCTTAATACCTTTAGGTGTTTTTAAAAATAATCAAATTTCAACCATTGATTATTTGGCATCTCACCACTTACATTCACTGGAATAGTTTCCCATCTA